TCTTAGTATCTATAAGGCTTATAAATGGAGTTTACTTAGAGACCGCCTGTGATGCTGGCAGACCAGGTGTCAGCTCATGCCGAGGCCCTGCGCCTTACTGAACACTGACAAATGCATAGCTGGAAACCAGTCTGGCTTAGCTGTGTGTTAGTTTTATTAAAGTAGATATTAGAGTTATAAGAAATTGTTTAGTGTTTAGACTTTGTGGAATGCTTGTAGGACGCTGCATGTATTAATATTACTTATAATATCTGTATCCCATGTTATAAGGTAATGTTTAAATGTTTGCTCTGTAACTATAAAAATGTTTGCTAAGACCTTAAATTCTCCACAGTTGTGGGAGAAGCATTACCAAGGGTATGTCTACACTATGAAATTAGGTCGAATTTATAGAAGTCGGTTGTGTAGAAAGCATTTTTATACAGTTGATTGTATGTGTCCCCACACAAATGCTCTAAGTGCATGTAGTCGGTGGAGTGTGTCCACAGTACCGAGGCAACCGTTGACTTCCGGAGTGTTGCACTGTGGGTAGCTATCCCACAGTTCCCTCAGTCTCTGCCGCCCATTTGAATTATGGGTAGAAATCCCAGTGCCTGATGGGGCTAAAACATTGTTGCGGGTGGTTCTGGATACATATTGTCAGGCCCCCCTTCCCTCCCTCCTTCCGTGAAAGCAAGGGCAGACAATCATTTTGCATCTTTTTTCTTGAGTTACCTGTGCAGATGCCATACCACAGCAAGCTTAGCTAACCGTCACTGTATGTCTCCTCGGTGCTGGCAGACGTGTTACTGCATTGCTACACAGCAGCAGTTTATTGCCTTTTGGCAGCAGACAGTGCAGTATGACTGGTAGCCGTCGTCAACATAGTCCTGGGTGCTCTTTTAACCGACCTCGATGAGGTCAGGGGCACCTGGGCAAACATGGCAGTGACTCAGCCAAGTCATTTCCCTTTTAAGTTTCATCTCATGGCGATTGAGTCCTACCGGCAGTGCACTGTCTTTTAATCAGCAGCCAGCAGAAGACGATGGCCAGTAGTCATGCTGCACCATCTTCTGCCGAGCACCCAGGAGATGACGATGGCTAGCAGTCGTACTGCACAGTCTGCTGCTAGCAAGATGTATAAAGATAGATGAAGTGGCTGAAAACAAGAAATAGACCAGATTTGTTTTGTATTCATTTTCTTCTCCCTCCCTCTGTGAAATCAACGGCCTGCTAAACCCAGTTTTGAGTTCTATCCTTGAGGTTTTGAGTTCTATCCTTGAGGGGGCCATTCAGTTTCTTGCAAAGCCACCCCCTTAGTTGATTTTAATTCCCTGTAAGCCATGTCGTCAGTTGCCTCTCCCTCCATCAGGGCAATGACAGACAATTGTTCCGCGCCTTTTTTCTGTGCAGACGCCATACCACGGCAAGCATGGAGCCCGCTCAGAACACTTAGGAGCACATTAAACACCATGCGCATTATCCAGCAGTATATGCAGAACCAGAACCTGGCAAAGTGAAACCAGGCGAGTAGGCGACGTCAGCGTGGTGACGAGAGTGATGAGGGCATGGACACAGACTTCTCTCAAAGCACGGGGCCTGGCAATGTGGGCATCATGGTGCTAATGGGGCAGATTCATGCTGTGGAACACCGATTCTGGGCTCGGGAAACAAGCACAGACTGGTGGGACCGCATAGTGTTGCAGGGCTGGGACGATTCCCAGTGGCTGCGAAACTTTCGCTTGCATAAGGGCACTTTCATGGAACTTTGTGACCTGCTTTCCCCTGCCCTGAGGCACAAGAATACCAAGATGAGAGCAGCCCTCACAGTTGAGAAGCGAGCGGCAATAGCCCTGTGGAAGCTTGCAATGCCAGACAGCTACCGGTCAGTTGGGAATCAATTTGGAGTGGGCAAATCTACTGTGGGGGCTGCTGTGATGCAAGTAGCCAATGCAATGAAAGATCTGCTGATATCAAGGGTAGTGACCCTGGGAAATGTGCAGGTCATAGTGGATGGCTTTGCTGCAATGGGATTCCCTAACTGTGGTGGGGCCATAGACGGAACCCATATCCCTATCTTGGCACCGGAGCACCAAGCCGGCAAGGGGTACTTTTCAATAGTGCTGCAAGCACTGGTGAATCACAAGGGACCTTCACCAACATCAATGTGGGATAGCCAGGAAAGGTACATGACGCTCGCATCTTCAGGAACTCTGGTCTGTTTCAAAAGCTGCAGGAAGGGACTTTATTCCCAGACCAGAAAATAACCGTTGGGGATGTTGAAATGCCTATAGTTATCCTTGGGGACCCAACCTTCCCCTTAATGCCATGGCTCATGAAGCCATACACAGGCAGCCTGGACAATGGTCAGGAGCTGTTCAACTACAGGCTGAGCAAGTGCAGAATGGTGGTAGAATGTGCATTTGAACATTTAAAAGCATGCTGGCGCAGTTTACTGACTCCGTTAGACATCAGCGAAACCAATATTCCAACTGTTATTACTGCTTGCTGTGTGCTCCACAATATCTGTGAGAGTAAGGGGGAGACGTTTATGGTGGGGTGGGAGGTTGAGGCAAATTGCCTGGCTGCTGGTTACGCACAGTCAGACACCAGGGCGGTTAGAAGAGCACAGGAGGGCGTGATGTGCATCAGAGAAGCTTTGAAAACCAGTTTCATGACTGGCCAGGCTATGGTGTGAAAGTTCTGTTTGTTTCTCCTTGATGAAACCCCCCGCCCCTTGGTTCACTCTACTTCCCTGTAAGCTAACCACCCTCCCCTCCTCCCTTCGATCACCGCTTGCAGAGGCAATAAAGTCATTGTTGCTTCACATTCATGCATTCTTTATTAATTTATCACACAAATAGGGGGATGACTACCAAGGTAGCCCAGGAGGGGTGGTGGAGGAGAGAAGCACCAGGAGGGGTGGTGGAGGAGGGAAGGACAAGGCCACACAGCACTTTAAAAGTTTAAAACTTTAAAACTTATGGAATGCCAGCCTTCTGTTGCTCGGGCAATCCCCTGGGGTAGAGTGTCTGGGTGGCTGGAGGCCCCCCCCCCCACGTTCTTTGGCATCTGGGTGAGGAGGCTATGGAACTTGGGGAGGAGGCTGGTTGGTTGTACATGGACTGTAGTGGCGGTCTGTCCTCCTGCTGCCTTTCCTGCAGCTCAACCATACGCTGGAGCATATTAGTTTGATCCTCCAGCAGCCTCAGCATTGCGTCCTGCTTCCTCTCATCATGCTGCCGCCACCTTTCAGCTTCAGCACTCTCTTCAGCCTGCCACTTACTCTCCTCAGCCCTCCACCTCTCCTCCCGGTGATTTTGTGCTTTCCTGCACTCTGACATAGTCTGCCTCCATGCATTCGTCTGTGCTCTGTGAGTGTGGGAGGACAGCATGAGCTCAGAGAACATTTCATTGCGAGTGCGTTTTTTTACCTTCTGATTTTCGCTAGCCTCTGGGAAGGAGAAGATCCTGTGATCCTTGAAACACATGCAGCTGGTGGAGAAAAAAAAGGGACAGTGGTATTTAAAAAGACACATTTTATAGAACAATGGGTACACTCTTTCATGGTAAACCTTGCTGTTAACATTACATACATAGCAAATGTGCTTTCGTTCTAAGGTCGCATTTTGCCTCCCCCCAGCGTGTGGCTAGCCCCTCCACCCTCCCCGTTGCTAACAGCGGGGAACATTTCTGTTCAGCCACAGGCAAACAGCCCAGCAGGAATGGGCACCTCTGAATGTCCCCTGAAGAAAAGCACCCTATTTCAACCAGGTGACCATGAATGATATCACTCTCCTGAGGATAACACAGAGAGATAAAGAACGGATGTTGTTTGAACGCCAGCAAACATACACTGCTATGCTTTGTTCTACAATGATTCCCTAGTACGTGCTACTGGCTGGAGTTGTAAAGTGTCCTACCATGGTGGATGGAATAAGGCTGCCCTCCCCAGAAACCTTTCGCAAAGGATTTGGGAGTACATCCAGGAGAGCCGTGAATGCCAGGGCAAATTAATCATTAAACATGCTTGCTTTTAAACCATGTATAGTATTTTAAAAGGTACACTCACCGGAGGCCCCTTCTCCACCTGGCGGGTCCGGGAGGCAGCCTTGGGTGGGTTCAGAGGGTACTGGCTCCAGATGCAGGGTGAGAAACAGTTCCTGGCTGTTGGGAAAACCGGTTTCTCTGCTTGCTTGCTGTGAGCTATCTATAACCTCATCATCATCATCTTCCTCATCCCCAAAACCTGCTTCCGTGTTGCCTCCATCTCCATTGAAGGAGTCAAACAACATGGCTGGGGTAGTGGTGGCTGAACCCCCTAAAATGGCATGCAGCTCATCATAGAAGTGGCATGTTTGGGGCTCTGACCCGGAGCGGCCGTTTGCCTCTCTGGTTTTCTGGTAGACTTGCCTCAGCTCTTTAAGTTTCATGCTGCACTGCTTCGAGTCCCTGTTATGGCCTCTGTCCTTCATGCCCTGGGAGATTTTGACAAAGGTTTTGGCATTTTGAAAACCGGAACGTAGTTCTGATAGCACGGATTCCTCTCCCCATACAGTGATCAGATCCCGTACCTCCCGTTCGGTCCATGCTGGAGCTCTTTTACGATTCTGGGACTCCATCATGGTCACCTCTGCTGATGAGCTCTGCATGGTCACCTCCGCTGATGAGCTCTGCACTCACCTGCAGCTTGCCACGCTGGCCAAACAGGAAATTGAAATTCAAAAGTTTGCAGGCCTTTACCTGGCCAGTGCATCTGAGTTGAGAGTGCTGTCCAGAGCGGTCACAGTGGAGCACTCTGGGATAGCTCATGGAGGCCAATACCATCTAATTGTGTCCACAGTACCCCAAACTCGACCCAGCAAGGCTGATTTCAGCGCTAATCCCCTTGTCGGGGGTGGAATAAGGAAATTGATTTTAAGAGCCCTTTAAGTCGAAAAAAAGGGCTTCGTTGTGTGGACGGGTGCAGGGTTCAGTTGATTTAACTCTGCTAAATTCGACCTCAACTCCTAGCCCTGGTCTACACTAGGACTTTAGGTCGAATTTAGCAGCGTTAAATCGATGTAAACCTGCATCCGTCCACACAATGAAGCCCTTTATTTCGACTTAAAGGGCTCTTAAAATCGATTTCCTTACTCCGCCCCTGAAAAGTGGATTAGCGCTTAAATCGACGTTGCCGGCTCGAATTTGGGGTACTGTGGACACAATTCGATGGTATTGGCCTCCGGGAGCTATCCCAGAGTGCTCCATTGTGACCGCTCTGGACAGCACTCTCAACTCAGATGCACTGGCCAGGTAGACAGGAAAAGAACTGCGAACTTTTGAATCTCATTTCCTGTTTGGCCAGCGTGGCAAGCTGCAGGTGACCATGCAGAGCTCATCAGCACAGGTGACCATGATGGAGTCCCAGAATCGTAAAAGAGCTCCAGCATGGACCCAACGGGAGGTACGGGATCTGATCGCTGTTTGGGGAGAGGAATCCGTGCTATCAGAACTCCGTTCCAGTTTTCGAAATGCCAAAACCTTTGTGAAAATCTCCCAGGGCATGAAGGACAGAGGCCATAACAGGGACCCGAAGCAGTGCCGCGTGAAACTGAAGGAGCTGAGGCAAGCCTACCAGAAAACCAGAGAGGCGAACGGCCGCTCCGGGTCAGAGCCCCAAACATGCCGCTTCTATGATGAGCTGCATGCCATTTTAGGGGGTTCAGCCACCACTACCCCAGCCGTGTTGTTTGACTCCTTCAATGGAGATGGAGGCAATACGGAAGCAGGTTTTGGGGACGAAGAAGATGATGATGAGGAGGAGGTTGTAGATAGCTCACAGCAAGCAAGCAGAGAAACCGGTTTTCCCGACAGCCAGGAACTGTTTCTCACCCTAGACCTGGAGCCAGTACCCCCGAACCCACCCAAGGCTGCCTCCTGGACCCAGCAGGCGGAGAAGGGACCTCTGGTGAGTGTACCTTTTAAAATACTATACATGGTTTAAAAGCAAGCATGTGAAAGGATTACTTTGCCCTGGCATTTGCGGTTCTCCTAGATGTAGTCCTAAAGCCTTTGCAAAAGGTTTCTGGGGAGGGCAGCCTTATTGCGTCCTTCATGGTAGGACACTTTACCACTCCAGGCCAGTAACACGTACTCGGGAATCATTGTAGAACAAAGCATTGCAGTGTATGTTTGCTGGCATTCAAACAACATCCGTTCTTTATCTCTCTGTGTTATCCTCAGGAGAGTGAGATATAATTCATGGTCACCTGGTTGAAATAGAGTGCTTTTCTTCAGGGGACACTCAGAGGAGCCCATTCCTGCTGGGCTGTTTGCCTGTGGCTAAACAGAAATGTTCCCCGCTGTTAGCCACAGGGAGGGGGGAAGGTTGAGGGGGTAGTCACGCGGTGGGAGGAGGCAAAATGCGACCTTGTAACGAAAGCACATGTGCTATGTATGTAATGTTAACAGCAAGGTTTACCCTGAAAGACTGTAGCCACTGTTTTATAAAATGTGTCTTTTTAAATACCGCTGTCCCTTTTTTTTTCTCCACCAGCTGCATGTGTTTCAATGATCACAGGATCTTCTCCTTCCCAGAGGCTAGTGAAGCTTAGAAAGAAAAAAAAACGCACTCGCGATGAAATGTTCTCCGAGCTCATGCTGTCCTCCCACACTGACAGAGCACAGACGAATGCGTGGAGGCAGACTATGTCAGAGTGCAGGAAAGCACAAAATGACCGGGAAGAGAGGTGGCGGGCTGAAGAGAGTAAGTGGCGGGCTGAAGACAGGGCTGAAGCTCAAATGTGGCGGCAGCGTGATGAGAGGAGGCAGGATTCAATGCTGAGGCTGCTGCAGGACCAAACCAGTATGCTCCAGTGTATGGTTGAGCTGCAGCAAAGGCAGCTGGAGCACAGACTGCCACTGCAGCCCCTCTGTAACCAACCGCCCTCCTCCCCAAGTTCCATAGCCTCCACACCCAGACGCCCAAGAACGCGGTGGGGGGGCCTCCGGCCAACCAGCCACTCCACCACAGAGGATTGCCCAAAAAAAAGAAGGCTGTCATTCAATAAATTTTAAAGTTGTAAACTTTTAAAGTGCTGTGCTTAAAGTGCTGTGTGGCATTTTCCTTCCCTCCTCCACCACCCCTCCTGGGCTACCTTGGTAGTCATCCCCCTATTTGTGTGATGAATGAATAAAGAATGCATGAATGTGAAGCAACAATGACTTTATTGCCTCTGCAAGCGGTGATTGAAGGGAGGAGGGGCGGGTGGTTAGCTTACAGGGAAGTAGAGTGAACCAAGGGGCGGGGGTTTCATCAAGGAGAAACAAACAGAACTTTCACACCGTAGCCTGGCCAGTCATGAAACTGGTTTTCAAAGCTTCTCTGATGCGTACCGCGCCCTCCTGTGCTCTTCTAACCGCCCTGGTGTCTGGCTGCGCGTAACCAGCAGCCAGGCGATTTGCCTCAACCTCCCATCCCGCCATAAACGTCTCCCCCTTACTCTCACAGATATTGTGGAGCACACAGCAAGCAGTAATAACAGTGGGAATATTGGTTTTGCTGAGGTCTAAGCGAGTCAGAAAACTGCGCCAGCGCGCCTTTAAATGTCCAAATGCACATTCTACCACCATTCTGCACTTGCTCAGCCTGTAGTTGAACAGCTCCTGACTACTGTCCAGGCTGCCTGTGTACGGCTTCATGAGCCATGGCATTAAGGGGTAGGCTGGGTCCCCAAGGATACATATAGGCATTTCAACATCCCCAACAGTTATTTTCTGGTCTGGGAATAAAGTCCCTTCCTGCAGCTTTTGAAACAGACCAGAGTTCCTGAAGATGCGAGCATCATGCACCTTTCCCGGCCATCCCACGTTGATGTTGGTGAAACGTCCCTTGTGATCCACCAGAGCTTGCAGCACTATCGAAAAGTACCCCTTGCGGTTTATGTACTCGGCGGCTTGGTGCTCCGGTGCCAAGATAGGGATATGGGTTCCGTCTATAGCCCCACCACAGTTAAGGGAATCCCATTGCAGCAAAGCCATCCACTATGACCTGCACATTTCCCAGGGTCACTACCCTTGATATCAGCAGATCTTTGATTGCGTGGGCTACTTGCATCACAGCAGCCCCCACAGTAGATTTGCCCACTCCAAATTGATTCCCAACTGACCGGTAGCTGTCTGGCGTTGCGAGCTTCCACAGCGCTATCGCCACTCGCTTCTCAACTGTGAGGGCTGCTCTCATCTTGGTATTCATGCGCCTCAGGGCAGGGGAAAGCAAGTCACAAAGTTCCATGAAAGTGCCCTTACGCATGCGAAAGTTTCGCAGCCACTGGGAATCGTCCCAGCCCTGCAACACTATGCGGTCCCACCAGTCTGTGCTTGTTTCCCGAGCCCAGAATCGACGTTCCACAGCATGAACCTGCCCCATTAGCACCATGATGCATGCATTGGCAGGGCCCATGCTTTCAGAGAAATCTGTGTCCATGTCCTGATCACTCACATGACCGCGCTGACGTCGCCTCCTCGCCCGGTATCGCTTTGCCAGGTTCTGGTGCTGCATATACTGCTGAATAATGCGTGTGGTGTTTAATGTGCTCCTAATTGCCAAAGTGAGCTGAGCGGCCTCCATGCTTGCCTTGGTATGGCGTCCGCACAGAAAAAGGCGCGGAACGATTGTCTGCCGTTGCTCTGACGGAGGGAGGGGCGACTGACGACACGGCTTACAGGGTTGGCTTCAGGGAGCTAAAATCAACAAAGGGGGTGCCTGTACATCAAGGAGTATTTCAGGCAGGACTTCACGGAGGGTTCCAATAGGAAATGGTGCACCTAAGTTATCGTTCTTATTGGAACAAGGAGGTTAGTCTGGCCTCTGATTGATACATGGCTAGATTTACCTCGCTGCACCTTCTCTGTGAGTGACTGCAGTGTGACCTAGAGGAATGAGTCCCCTAGACAGGGGAGGAGGCAAATGAGTACAAAACAAATCTGGTCTATTTCTTGTTTTGACCCACTCCATCTATCTTTTACATCTTTGGCTGGCAGCAGACGGTGCAGAAGGACTGCATGCCATCCACATCTCATGGCTGCTCGGCAGAAGATGGTACAGTACGACTGCTAGCCATCCTCATCTCTTGCCTGCCTGGCAGAAGATGGTACAATACGACTACTAGCAATCCTCATCTCTTGCCTGCCTGGCAGAAGATGGTACAGTACGACTGCTAGCAGTCCGTATCGCCTGCCCGCTCACCATAAGACGGTTCAATGGGACTGACTGCAGGACTAAAGAGAATGACCTGGTCAAGTCACTCCAAATTTAGTCCCTGTGCCCATGTCTGCCCAGGCGCTCCCAGCCGACGTGGCCAGGAGCACCTCGGACATGACGATGACGGCTACCAGTCGTACTGTACCGTCTGCTGCCACAAGGCAAGGGGTTGCTGCTACTGTGTAGCAATGCCGTACCGCGTCTGCCAGCACCCAGGAGACATAGGGTGACGGTTACCTGAGCGGGCTCCATGCTTGCCGTGGTATGGCGTCTGCACAGGTAACTCAGGAAAAAAGGCGCGAAATGATTGTCTGCCCTTGCTTTCACGGAGGGAGGGAGGGAAGGGGGCCTGACGATATGTACCCAGAACCACCCACGACAATGTTTTAGCCCCATCAGGCATTGGGATCTCAACCCAGAATTCCAATGGGCAGCGGAGACTGCGGGAACTGTGGGATAGCTACCCACAGTGCAACGCTCCGGAAGTCGACTCTAACCTCGGTACTGTGGAAGCGCTCCGCCGAGTTAATGCACTTAATGCACTTAGAGCATTTTCTGTGGGGACACACACACTCGAATATATAAAACCGATTTCTAAAAAACCGACTTCTATAAATTCGACCTTATTCCGTAGTGTAGACATACCCAACCAAGTGTGAAATGTTAGTTTAGCATAAGAGGTGTTATCTTCTCATCAACAAAAGAAGGTCTGTAGACACCAGACAAGCCATCGTGAACAAAAGACTTTAATTGTTACCCCACATTTCTGAAGAGGGTAAGTGCACAAGCCTGCATCCCATCACAGCTTGAATGCTGGGGGAAGGGAATAAAAATGCCTGTTAAGGAGAAACTGGTATTTTTATGCTGTCTGGGCTCTGAGGGGCAAAGATTCTTAACCATAAGCAAGAGATCCCCAAGCTGCTTGGGCTGGGTTAGCCCTAAAGGACATAAAAGCTACTAATTATAGAAGCTTCTATTACCTTTTGAATTTCAGATGGTGTGTCATTTGTGTGCATATGTTTACCTGCTTTAACCTTGTGAATAACTTTTAGTTCTTTTTCCTAGTTAATAAACATTTAACTAGTTTGTTACAGGATTGGCTACAAGCATTATCTTTGGCTTCAGATCAGAGTACAAATGACCTGGGGTAAATGACTGGTCCTTTGGGACTGGGAGTAACCTGAATATGGTTGTGATTTTTGGTGTAAGGGGTCATCTATGACAAAGTCCAGCTTGCCTGGGTGGCAAGATGGACTGAAATGACCAAGGGGACTGTTTGTGACTCCATGGAAAGGCTGTTATAGTGCTTTAGGAGTTCATACTTGTTACTGGGTTTTGCCCTGCTTCTTGACTATGTGCTCTAAGGTTGGCGCACTCAGTTGTGAGAAACGTGAAACCCTTCAACCCTAAGAGAAGTTAATTAGCATCCTAAAAGATTCCTCCAGCTAGTGATATTTGCTCAGACTATACCACCAAAGAAAGTACATTTGGGGACGTGATCAAGGGGCCTTACTGTGGTTAATGCAACTAAACCAAATGCTAGATATATGATGAATTATTGTTACTAGTTTCTTTCTACAAAGTTGTGTAAATTTACCCGTGCTGCAATTTCTTCTTTTCCTCTTCAAGGCATTTTCTTTCTTAGCCTTGTAGTTATACTAGTTGCTTTTGGGAAAGCTCCCTCTGTGCTCTTGTCATGAGCATAATGGTGGGAGTGCTAGTGTAGACAGGACACTGGCCTTTTTTTTTTACCACCATGTTTTCTAATCCTATTCAGAATAGGACTGTTTGTTTTTACTTGAGGATAAAACACTGGTATACATCAATGCCATGTCTACCCTAGCACTTCTGCTATCTGGTGAAACTGCACTGGGGGTAGTAAAATCGTGGGAGACTTATCCAAAATAGCCTGGTGTAGAGAAGGCTTTTGCACAGCTGTAAAGCTCAGCCCTGGTGAATAGTAAAGAAAAATAAGCTATTCTAATGTCATAGCTTTCACTTATATAATATCTTTTCATCTTGCAGGATGCTAGAGAGATTTGCAAACTTAACTACATGCTACACACAATGCTTACTTCATATATTAACTGAAGTGCATCCTGTCTCTGGGACATAACTCAGCAGGTGTTCAACAGCACACAGCAATGCTGCACAACAGCCCTGGGTAGAAAGCCAACACTTGAAACTGCAGAGGGAATTTTAGGTGCATGCAATATAATTGCCAAGTCTGGAATTTGGCAAGGGTGCTGAAATGAATACAACTACTCGTATTTCAAAAACTACCCTGGAATCGTTGATGATCCTAAATAGTCAGTATTTTGATTTAATCCAGAAGTCACTGGGGCATATTCCCGAATAACACTGAAGTCCTTAGATGCTCTTGAAGTCAATGGAGCTATGTTGATTTACACCAGCTGAGGATCTGGCCTACCACATCCAGCAGAACTGTCTGCCTGCCTAACACCATGAAGGAGAATAGCTTCTGTAATAATGCAAGGGGATGATGAGTGCTGCTTACTGAATTACCTGCACTTTCTGCAGCAGGTGGGTGTTCCTTAGATGGCTCCTGTTGAAGTACTGATTCACACAAGTACTGAGATCTGATGGAGTCACAGCACAAGGTGGGTGTAGTTGCAGTTTTGTTGGGCTATATAGGTTTTTGTACTGTAGAAATATATGCTTCTTTTAGAATTATGGATTAGAGGAAAGGGTCATGATTGCCCCCACCTGTTGCTGCATTGTTACATGATCTTGATGGTAACAAAGAGTAGAGATATAAGAAAGAAAAATATAAAACCTGTTGTGATTTGTTGTACAAAAAACAATCCTAAAAGTATTTTGGAATATTTATTTAATAAATTCCATATGCTGTTAACTGTGACAAAACGGTATCCATTTGTTATGTGAGCCAGGAGTTAGCTCGCAATTTGGGGGAATTCTGTAATTCCCCCAAATTGGATTAATTTGCAAGGATAATATTTTTAGCATCAACAGAAATGTACTTCTACAATTTGGCAAGCTAACTGTAATTTACTGCAGACTTTTGTATTTGGTTTCTTATAGTATGCTTCACCAGTTCATCCAATAGCTTTGTTGTGAAAGACTATACAAATCTAATTTACATACTGGAGGCTACATGGTCAAGTGGAATTATGTCCTTGTCTTTTACCTCTGTGAACCTGGATTCACATGTGGCTGAAGTTCACTACAATAATGTATTTGGTGGTCTCAGTTACCAGCATGTCACCAGTAGAAATTTATTCACATTACATTTTGACAAAGTCCAGGCCAATTTGCAACTTCAGATGAGAAGAGATCAAGTACTGGAAGAAAATATTCTGAAAGGTCATATGTGCAAACTAGACTAGACCAGCCCAGCCCACAGGCATCTAATGTTCACAACTGGTACTTATATGACAAACAACATAAGCTCTTATTGACCTTGGCAGCACTGCAAGGCTAATATTTTCATAAGAGTGAACACTTGTTGAAGTGCTTTTCTTGACTATAAATGACATATGGGTTCTTTTTTCATTTTTTAGATGGGCAATCCATCTCTGCGGCTGATGCTGCCGCTTTTATATGGGTTTCTAAGGCATTTATGCTGCAGTCTCCAGTTCCAGGCCAGTGTCGGTTTTTCTAGCTTCCTCTTCAAGACATCAGTGCCATACACCAGGGGTTTTCAACCTTTTTTCATTTGCGGATCCCTAAAAAGTTTCAGATGTATCCCTTGCTAAATCTTACACATAGTCTGCGGGCCCCAGGTTGAAAACCAGTGTTCTATGGTAATGACAACCTTTTGCAGACCCCCTGAGACATAGTCTGCAGATTCACAGTGGTCCGTGGACTACAGGTTGAAAACCACTGCTGTACACCAATTAGTAGATGTAAACATGAGCATTCATGCCAGAAACTTGATTCTAAATGTTAAGTTTATGTTGTTAATTCATACATATCTATTCAAGGCAGCTTGAATAGCTGCCAGGAGCTGCTCACAGACAACCTACAAGCCATACATATTGGCAGAAATTATTAGGTGAATAATTTTAAATAAATGAATACATGAACAGTTTACAGTCAGAGGGAAAAGGCAAAATTAATAAATTATTCATTATGAATTCTTTGCCTAGCTCCAATATCGACATAATTCCCTTGGGATCCAATCCTGCAAAGTGCTTAGCAACTCTGAGTACCGTTATTCCTCTTTTTGCCTTGAGACTTATCTACTCCCAAATTTTCTTGCCTCAGAATATGCCTGAAAGAGAGGGAGCAGATTGTGACTGCAGTAAAATTGGCAGTTTCTCCAGCCTCACTAAATGGATGTCTTTAAATAAATGACCCAGTAAATGACTACCTTGTACCGCCCACTCACCAGAAATTCTCTCAAAGAGGGGACAGAACTGGTCAGCTGCTCTCAGAAGATGTTGGGAGAAGATAAGGTTGCATGTAATACCACAACTGCAAGACAGCTCAAGGTAAAGGTGAAAGCTTCCAGGTGTTGGAGGGGAAAGAGGGAATCTGGGGCTGGAGTCCTCTTAGCCCTGGTCTACACTAGGACTTTAGGATGAATTTAGCAGCGTTAAATCGATGTAAACCTGCACCCGTCCACATGATGAAGCCCTTTATGTCGACTTAAAGGGCTCTTAAAATCGATTTCTGTACTCCACCCCTGACAAGTGGATTAGCGCTTAAATCGGCCTTGCCGGGTCGAATTTGGGGTACTGTGGACAGAATTCGACGGTATTGGCCTCTGGGAGATATCCCAGAGTGCTCCATTGAGACCGCTGTGGACAGCACTCTCAACTCAGATGCACTGGCCAGGTAGACAGGAAAAGAACTGTGAACTTTTGAATCTAATTTCCTGTTTGGCCAGCGTGGCAAGCTGCAGGTGACCATGCAGAGTCCATCAGCAGAGGTGACCATGATGGAGTCCCAGAATTGCAAAAGAGCTCCAGCATGGACCGAACGTGAGGTACGGGATCTGATCGCTGTATGGGGAGAGGAAACCGTGCTATCAGAACTACGTTCCAGTTTTCGAAATGCCAAAACCTTTGTCAAAATCTCCCAGAGCATGAAGGACAGAGGCCATAACAGGGATCTGAAGCAGTGCTGCATGAAACTTAAGGAGCTGAGGCAAGCCTACCAGAAAACCAGAGAGGCGAACGGCCGCCCCGGGTCAGAGCCCCAAACATGCCGCTTCTATGATGAGCTGCATGCCATTTTAGGGGGTTCAGCCACCACTACCCCAGCCATGTTGTTTGACTCCTTCAATGGAGATGGAGGCAATACGGAAGCAGGTTTTGGGGATGAAGAAGATGATGATGATGATGAGGTTGTAGATAGCTCACAGCAAGCAAGCGGAGAAACTGGTTTTCCCGACAGCCAGGAACTGTTTCTCACCCTGGACCTGGAGCCAGTACCCCCCGAACCCACTCAAGGCTGCCTCCTGGACCCGGCAGGCGGAGAAGGGACCTCCGGTGAGTGTACCTTTTAAAAATACTATACATGGTTTAAAAGCAAGCATGTTTAATGATTAATTTGCCCTGGCATTCGCGGCTCTCCTGGATGTACTCCCAAAGCCTTTGCAAAAGGTTTCTGGGGAGGGCAGCCTTATTGCGTCCTTCATGGTAGGACACTTTACCACTCCAGGCCAGTAACACGTAGTAACATGGGAATCATTGTAGAACAAAGCATTGCAGTGTATGTTTGCTGGCATTCAAACAACATCCGTTCTTTATCTCTCTGTGTTATCCTCAGGAGAGTGAGATATCATTCATAGTCTCCTGGTTAAAATAGGGTGCTTTTCTTCAGGGGACATTCAGAGGAGCCCGTTCCTGCTGAGCTGTTTGCCTGAGGCTGAACAGAAATGTTCCCCGTTGTTAGCCACGGGGAGAGGGGAGCGTTGAGGGGGTAGCCACACGGTGGGGGGAGGCAAAATGCGACCTTGTAACGAAAGCACATGTGCTATGTATGTAATGTTAACAGCAAGGTTTACCCTGAAAGACTGTAGCCACTGTTTTATAAAATGTGTCTTTTTAAATACCGCTGTCCCTTTTTTTTTCTCCACCAGCTGCATGTGTTTCAATGATCACAGGATCTTCTCCTTTCCAGAGGCTAGTGAAGATTAGAAAGAAAAAAAATGCACTCGTGATGAAATGTTCTCTGAGCTCATGCTGTCCTCCCACACTGACAGAGCACAGACGAATGCGTGGAGGCAGACTATGTCAGAGTGCAGGAAAGCACAAAATGACTGGGAGGAGAGGTGGCGGGCTGAAGAGAGTAAGTGGCGGGCTGAAGAGAGGCTGAAGCTCAAATGTGGCGGCAGCATGATGAGAGGAGGCAGAATTCAATGCTGAGGCTGCTGCAGGACCAAACCAGTATGCTCCAGTGTATGGTTGAGCTGCAGCAAAGGTAGCTGGAGCACAGACTGCCACTACAGCTCCTGTGTAACCAACCGCCCTCCTCCCCAAGTTCCATAGCCTCCACACCCAGACGCCCAAGAACGCGATGGGGGGGCCACCAGCCAACCAGCCACTCCGCCACAGAGGATTGCCCCAAAAAAAAGAAGGCTGGCATTCAATAAATTTTAAAGTTGTAAACAATTTTAAAGTTGTAAACTTGACATCTGATTTGTGTCCATTTATTCTTTTACGTAGAGAATGTCCAGTTTGACCAATGCTCCAACCCCTCAGACAGAGACAAACACCTACAAGATCTCTGTCAAGCTTTCTTACAACTACAATACCCACCTGCAGAAGTAAAGAAACAGATTGATAGAGCCAGAAGAGTTCCCAGAAGTTACCTACTACAGGACAGGCCTAACAAAGAAAATAACAGAACGCCACTAGCGGTCACCTTCAGCCCCCAACTAAAACCCCTCCAACGCATTATTAAGGATCTACAACCTATCCTAAAGGATGACCCAACACTCTCACAAGTCTTGGGAGACAGGCCAGTCCTTGCCTACAGACAGCCCCGCAACCTGAAGCAAATACTCACCAACAACCACATACCACACAACAGAACCACTAACCCAGGAACTTATCCTTGCAACAAAGCCCGTTGCCAATTGTGCCCACATATCTATTCAGGGGACACCATCACAGGGCCTAATAACATCAGCCACACTATCAGAGGCTCGTTCACCTGCACATCCACCAATGTGATATATGCCATCATGTGCCAGCAATGCCCCTCTGCCATGTACATTGGTCAAACTGGACAGTCTCTACGTAAAAGAATAAATGGACACAAATCAGATGTCAAGAATTATAACATTCATAAACCAGTCGGAGAACACTTCAATCTCTCTGGTCACGCAATCACAGACATGAAGGTCGCTATCTTAAAACAAAAAAACTTCAAATCCAGACTCCAGCGAGAAACTGCTGAATTGGAATTCATTTGCAAATTGGATACTATTAATTTAGGCTTAAATAGAGACTGGGAGTGGCTAAGTCATTATGCAAGGTAGCCTGTTTCCTCTTGTTTTTTCCTACCCCCCCCCCGATGTTCTGGTTTAACTTGGATTTAAACTTGGAGAGTGGTCAGTTTAGATGAGCTATTACCAGCAGGAGAGTGAGTTTGTGTGTGTATGGGGGTGGGGGGGATGTGAGAAAACCTGGATTTATGCAGGAAATAGCCCGACTTGATTATGTAAAGAGTTGTCACTTTGGATGGGCTAGCACCAGCAGGAGAGTGAATTTGTGTGGGGGGGTGGAGGGTGAGAAAACCTGGATTTGTGCTGGAAATGGCCCACCTGATGATCACTTTAGATAAGCTATTACCAGCAGGACAGTGGGGTGGGAGGAGGTATTGTTTCATATTCTCTGTGTGTATATAAAGTCTGCTGCAGTTTCCACGGTATACATCTGATGAAGTGAGCTGTAGCTCACGAAAGCTCATGCTCAAATAAATTGGTTAGTCTCTAAGGTGCCACAAGTACTCCTTTTCTTAGTGCATTTAGGGTGACCAGATGTCCAGATTTTATAGGGACAGTCCCAATATTCAGATCTTTGCCTTATATAGGTGCCTATTGCCCCTCAGCCCCTGCATCAATTTTTCACACAGCCTAAGTCACCCTAAGTACATTCTGTCTTTCTGCATCTCTGCCCCAGCTCTGGTCTCAAAGCTATCTAAAAATAATAAATAATGCAAACAACGCTCAAATCAAATGAAAGCTCATTTAGCAAAAGCAAGCAACAACAAACAAACTCCACTCCCCTGCTCCAAACTCCCAAATGTTAAAAATGACAGAAGAATCCCCAAGCAGAGATGATAGCCCTGCAGTAGCGGTGTCACCATGGTAAACTAAATCATATGTACAAGCTGCTTCCAATAAACCATTCAACATGATAAAGGGGTGCTATTATATTACAAAACCCAGAAGGCTCGGGTACTTCCACTGTCATGAACTGAACAGGTTAAAAGTATTTTAATGAGACTGACATACTTTTTGCCTTTAGCTCTGTTTTCACTGTAGAAAGCTATCCCTTTACTTATGTACATGGTAGGTCAACAGCACAAATTAGGAGGATATAATCTAGTTTGTTCCAATCATTCAATACTGTGAAACAGCTTAGGATTCTATGTAAAAGCAGCCAGGAACCAATGAAATTTTATGAGATATCTTGTAATCAAAAGTTTCCCTTTTGGAAAATGAATTGTATTTTATTGTTGAGTAGAGGCCTCTGAAGAGCCTGCCATGACTTCCAACTAGGATCAGCCTCAGAAAGGAAGATCCCCTGCCACCTGTCACACTGGCTTTCTGTGACTGAGGTAAGAGTGGAATGGCAGACGAGTGCTGCAGTTTCCTTTAAACAGCAAATCCCTTTTTTAAGCCTCCCCTGTCCTTTGAGTTTTTCTCACCTGTGGTCATTTGAGGTACAGTAAAAAGGACAAAAACAGTCCATGAACCAAATTCCAGAGACGTTACAAAGGCTCAGGCCTTCCCCTTGCGATGAGAAACCGGTGAGAAGGCACGAAGTGAGAGGAGGTCACTGTGAGTTTCCCCTCACAGTTTCCTCTGATTCTTCAGCCGGGCAGTTTTTCCAGCTCCATGGGGTACAGGCCTCAAAATGTACAATGCATATCTTAGGGGCTCTGCAGTAGTTACAGGGCCACGCAGGCAGGATCCCACTCCTTGGTGGTTCTCTGGCAGCTTGGGTCCATTGAACCTACCTGCCAGTGGCTGCCTGAAGGACTCTCCTTAAGGGGGATTGGTGAGCAAGGTGGGCTCCTCAGGAATGTTAATACAGTTGTACTCTATGGAACTATATGCACATGCAGCACAAAGATCAACAGGACATGACCTGGCCCTCAGTTTTTATTTAGTCAAAACTCCCAATGGGCCCAATCCTGACACTTACTTAGTTCTTCCTTGCATAAAAGTCTCTTTTTGAGAAATTGCGATTTTTTGTCTGAGCTAAGAACTGTAGGGAGAAAGAGCTTCATAATGCAACCCTGTATATGGAAACAAGAGCTTCTATTTTATGCATCTCTGATGTCAGCAGCACATTCCTCATGTGTAGGACCAGGTCCACAGCTCATGTAAATCATCATGGCTCTCCTAAAGTTAATGTATCTTCTTTAAACCAGCTGAGGATCTTGCCTGTAGGCATCACAGGGTATGTAGAGTACAGACTGTACTCCCTGGCCCAGATCCTTAGCTGATGTAAATCCACATAGTTCCATTGACAGATTTCAACCAGCTTAGAGTAATAGGAGGCAAGGTCCCATGGAAAGACCAATTAGGAACAAAAGGAGTCAAAGCGGGCTGGCAGTTCATAAAAATGTAATGCTAGAAGCTCAACATCAAGCTATTCTAATGGAGGTGAAAGATAAGAAGAGCCACAGGAGACCAATGTGGCTGCACAAGGAGCTTTTTAGTTATCTAAAAACCAAAAGGGATACATACAGGAAATAGAAGGGCGGGCATGTCACCAAGGAAATATACATGGGAATACCGTGAGCTTGTAGGGACAAAATCAGGAAAGCCAAGGCAAAGAATGAGTTGCAGCTGACAAGAAATGTTAGAGACAACAAGAAGGGGTTATACAAATATGTGAGACAAAAAAGAAAGTTCAGGGATAGTATGCGTCTGCTGCTCAATATAGAAAGTGAGCTAGTAATGGAAGATGGTAAGAAGGCAGAGCTGTTTAATGTTTACTTTGCTTCAGTCTTCACACAAAAAAATAATATAGACAATAAAGGGGAAGGGATGCAGAACAGGATAAGTAAAGAACACATCAGAGGTCTTCTGGCTAAGTTGAATGAATTCTAGTCAGCTGGTCCTGATCCTGTGCATCCCAAGGTGCTGAAGGAATTAGCTAAAGAACTCTCAGAATCACTGGCAATAATATTTGCAAACTCATGGATGACAGGAGAGGACATGGAAGACTAGAGAAGGGCTAATGTAGTGCCCATCTTTTAGAAGAGGAAAAAGGAAGAACTGGGGAACTATAGACCAGTCAGCCTGTTCTTGCTACCTGGGAAGCTACTAGAGCAATGTATAAAACATTCAATTTGTGAATACCTAGAGGATGAAGGCGTGATCACTAGCAGCCATCATGGATTTGCCAAGAACAAATATCAAAGCTGCTTGATTTCCTTCTTTGATAAAGTAACCAGTTCAGTGGATATAACATACCTGGACTTCAGCAAGGCTTTTGACACAGTCCATGGGTGGCAGGTGAAGCTTCCCCTGTGGGAGGCTAGCTCCCTGTCCTGCCTCTTCCACCCATGGCCCTGCCCCCGCTCTGTGCCAGGCCCTGCCCCCACTTCCGGTAGGCCCACTCCCCGCTCATCCCCCCGCTGCTGCTTGCTGCATTCCTCCTCTCCTCTCCCTTTCCTGTGAGGCCCCCAGCGCCCGCCACTTGCTGTGTCCCTCCTCTCTTCCACCCTCCTCCCCCACAAGGCCCCCACTGCTTGTACTCTCTGAGTCCCTCCTCTCCTCCATCCTCCTCCCCTGCAAGGCCCCTACTGCCAGCAGGGACATGATGTGCAGCGGGTGGGGGGCTTCATGAGGGAGAGGGTGGAGGAGAGGAGGAATGCAGTGAGCAGCGGGGACCTCCAGAGATGGGGGGTGAAGTGGAGGAGAGGAGGGACTCACCAGGCAGCGGTGGGTTGGAGGGGCCTTGGGGAAGGGGTGGAGCAGGGACAGGAAGAGGCACAGCGCAGGCAGGGTCACCATGGCCCAGGCGTCCTGTGGCGGGTTGGCAGTGGCTGCACCAAGGGAGGCTTAGCCTCTCTATGCCTATTATACCCACTGCCTATGACACAGTCCCACATGACATTCTCATAAGTAAGCTGGAGAATTGCGGGCTCAGCAGAACTACCATTAAGTGGATACATAATTGATTAAACAACCACAAACAAAGAGTAACTATTAATGAAATGATGTCAGATTGGAAGGAGATCTCAAGTGGGGTTCCACAGGGTTCTGTTCTGGGTCCAGTGTTGTTTAATATCTTTATTAATGACCTGGGTGTAGGAATAGAGTGCATACTAATCAAATTTGTAGATGACACAAAGCTGGGGTTGGGGGTGGGGATGTTGCAATCAGTTTGAAGGACAGAGCTAAAATTCAAAGGGATCTTGATAATGGGAGAACTTGGCTATTGACAACAAAATGAAATTCAACAAAGACAAATGTAAGATGCTACACTTAGGGAAGAAAAACCAAATACACAAATACAGAATGGGGGATAACTGGCTTGGCAGTAGCACTGCTGAGAAGGATCTGGGAGTTGTGGTGGATCACAACCTTAACATGACTCATCAATTTGATGCTGTTGTAAAAAAAAAAAAGCAAATGCAATTTTGGGTTGCATTAACAGAGTCATAGCATGCAAATCACAGGAAGTGAAAGTACCGCTCTACTTGGCGCTGGTTAGGCTTCAGCTGGAGTACTGTGTCCAATTTTGGTCACTGCTGTATAGAAAGGATGTAGAGAAACTGGAAAGGATCTAGAGGTGAGTGACAAAGATGATCAAATGGATGGAATGCAAGCCATACGAGCAAAGGCTGAAGGAACCGGGTATGTTTAGTTTGTAAAAGAGGGGATTAAGGGGGACATGATAGCCATCTTCAAATACTTTAAAGGCTACCATAAAAAAGATGGAGAAAAATTGTTCTCTCTAGCCACAGAAGGCAGGAGAAGAAGCAATGGGTTCAAACAACAGCATAGCATATTTAGATTAAATCTCAGGAAAAACTTCGTAACTGTAAGAACAGTAGGAAAATATAACAACCTGCCTAGGGAAGGCATGGAAGTTCCTTCACTGGAGGTTTTCAAAAAGAGGCTGGATAGCCATCTGTCTTGAGTGCCTTAGACACAACAAATCCTGCATCTTGGCAGGGAGTTAGACTAGATGACGGTTGCGGTCCCTTCTAACCCTATGATTCTATGACTCATAGGAGTCCCTCCAATTTACACCAGCTGAGGATATAGCACTGTTTTGAATCCAGTTCATTTCAATCTTTACCCACTGCTATAAATTGGCTCTGAATGCACCTTATTGTCAATTCCATCTACCCACATTCAGATGTCACCAGCCTCCACTGCCTTCCTCATATGAGAATCGTCGTGATAAGTTGTTTGTTTTATGATTGTCACCAGAAAATCTGATATTGAGAATATCCCCACAGTTATACAGTATTCAAAAATGAAAACATAATGCAAATATTAAATAAAACTTCTTGTAACA